GGTTACCTGCTGTGTCCGTCCCTGACTCATCAGTACTGCTGCGTACTGAGATCTGTCCATGCATGAGCACATGAGTCTAACGGAATACATCCGTCACTTGGAGCCCTGGTGGTGCAGTGGTTACGAGTTGGGCTGCAAACTGCAAGGCCAGCAGTTCGAAACCACCAGCTGCTCCACAGGAGAAAGATGGGGCTTTCCACCCCTGTAAAGAGTGACAGTCTTGGAAGCTCACAGGGGCAGTTCTAGCCTGTCCCATAGGATCGCGACGCATCAGCACTGGCTCAATGGTGGTGTGTTTTTAAGGTGATATTCATCCCTTGGAAGCAGTTATGAATTTCCACTAGATTCGTCTCATGAGATGTGCCTTTTAGCAGACTGATCACGGCTGGTTTGAAGGTCAGTGGGAACACCTCCATCGCGTAGTCAGAAGGGGGTTTTCAAATGTGGTCATTTCTTTTGCCACCCTTGGGCGGTCCAAAAATCACTGCCAGAAATTAGAAAATACATGAGCTGCAAATCTGGCGGGAATGGAGATCTTGCTTCTTGTTTTGTGGGTTATTTATTTGGGGTGTTGAGAGCCTACGTGCACAGCAGAACCCGGAGCCATCTCACAATTGCTATATAGACATCTCAGGGGCCTGGTGACAAGCTTTGAGCTGAGCATCCACTCTGAGTCCCCTTTCCTCAGTTGTTCCTTCCTCATGAACATCGGCTCTCTGAGGTTCCTGTCTCGACTTTTGATTGGCGGCTCGAATGTTTTGGCTGATGTGGTATTAGGAATTGGGGAAGGTTTACAGAATAGGCCAGGTTTCCATGCCCCTTTTGCTTTATGTCACTGATTTCAGTCCCCACAATGTCACGCCACTGTACCCCACTTCTTCCTTGTTTTCTATTCCTCCTCCTCTCCCAACCCTTCGGAACACTGTCCTTGGGCTTTCGACTCCTGTAAAGAGTTACAGCCTCGGGAACTCACAGGAGCAGTTCTGCCCTGTCCCATGGGGTCACGATGAGGCAGCATCGACTCGATGGCAGTGTTTTTGGTTTGGGGTTTGAGGTAGTTAGTTGATTGGGCCAACCTGGCCGATAAACCCATGTGGGTTAATGGAAGGGCGGAGGGATAGATGGCTGTAAGCCTCGCCCTTCTAGTTGTTGGGTCTCTTGCTTTGTGATGGTCCGACCAGGGTGCAGCTGCCTTGGTCAGTTCTCTGCTTCAGCTGGCAAGGCTTACTTCTTGCAAGACATCCCTGAGGAGAAGCCACATGGACCTACCCCGATGCAGCCCTGGGTGCTGGAGCAGCTGTGTGGAGACCCCTGCCAGCACTGAGATGCTTACACATTCACTGACTCGGCTTTCCTCCTGCCTAGTGTGTGTTTTGTGAGATGGAGGATGACTTTGTGGATTGCTGTCAGACAAACGGGTTAATGTTGGACCTGTGGGTTTTGGGCAGCACTGGGTTGGGATGTTTTCTTGATGTGCACTTAACCTTTATATAAAGCTCTCTCTTATACATGAGCTTCTGTGGATTTGTTTCTCTAAAGTTCCCAGACTAATACAGGGTTGATCTCACAGGGTTGATGGATCATTTCTGAGGGAACGTGTGCTTCCGTGGTGTTCCCTGTATAAGCCCATTTCACTGAAAATTGAGCCTGGGGTGAGTGAAGCGTGACGAAGGGTCATAGTCTCAGGTGTTCCACGGTCTCTCTCCATCCAGTAAGCTTTTTTCTGTTTTTTTTTTTTATGAAGTTGAGTCTTCCCCATCTTTCTCCCACTCCATCCAGGGCCTTCTAAAGCGATCCTTTCAGAGCAGTTGGTCTCGGTACCCGGGCGCCATCTAGTTCTTCTGATCTCAGGGCTTGGAGGCTGATGTTCACATGGTCCGTTAGTCCATGGACCAGTGGTCTCCATGCATCTTCAGTTTTCTCCCTCTGCACAAGAGAGATGAATAGTTCCCCCTTCGACGACTGCTCCTGAGCTTTTACGACCCCAGCCACTACTCATCGAAATAGGATGTAGAACATTGCCTCTGCAGAGCTGCCCTTGCTGTCCCCCAAGACCATGATGCTGAGCCCTCAGGCCCAGCAACACATTCCCTCGGGGGGGGTGGGGGGGTGTCTGCTTATCGTTAAGGAGGACAAGAAGTCCCTGCTTGCTCTACCATATTCATGGATACAAGGGAGCCTCAAAGGATTATTTCCACTCCCCTTTTCCACAAAGCTTTTTGAAGCCCCCTCATACATTTGCCGCCACAGTGGAACATCCTTGGTCAGGCCTGAGTATAGTCCCATTCTGCCTCCCACACGGCTTAGCCTGCATGTCCCTGAACGTGGTCACTCGTTGGTCGACAACATCACCTCTGTTGTCAACGCAAGCATTCTTTTTTTTT